CGACCTACCTGTGAAGTATGAACAAAACCGGCCGAGCCGAAACAATCACAGAGGAGTTAAAAGCCGTTGCTGGTGAAAAGTTACCCCAACTTTAGGGTCAAATTTCTCGGTAATGAAAACAGATATCAAAAATTCAAATGGTAACTTTGTGCCCACACTCAAGCTGAGTAGAATGAGCTATGTCTGAAGTGTTTTATCCCAAATTTGTAGGAGGAGATACATTTGGCGCGAAGCTATCCAAAAATCAGTTTTTTGGCTGTTGCTATGGCAACAGTGGGCCAAAAAAAATTTTCAGATTTTTCCTTATAACTAGGGTTAAGATGTGACCTACCTGCCAAGTTTGAACGAAATCGGCCAAGCCAAAAAAATCACAGAAGAAATAATAGTGAACACTGGAAATGTACACACACAGACACACACACACACAAAACGACAAAAGTGATTATAAGGGCAATCCTAGCGGAGCGGATCGCCAAAAAACATGCACGTTGTTTTTTTTGTCAAAGGCATGAAACAGAGTTAAAAATCAAATTCCAGTTTATAACTCAATGTAATTACGATTGCTACTGGTGCAAAGCAAAGAAACAACACTGTATTGTTTACTGTCGGCCATCTCCCCAAGATGGCAGGCTTTCTCTATAATATTTACTATGCAAGAAGAATACTATGTTATAAATGTACATGTACATACGCAAAAAGAAATTATACAACACAAACAAAATTCACTATGAAAGTAATGCTATAATTATTATTCCATGTAAGGCAAGGCAATCAAACAAATAAACACCAACCTCAATGACAAGTAAACATTAGTAATGTGCTTCTAATAGACGCGAATACAGTATATGACATAACCTGACACAGATTGCGAAAAACAGGAAACCGTACATGAAAACAACTTTTGTCAATAGGGATGGTGTCCAAATATTCAAATTGTTGTGAATTACTTAAATACCAATGTGATGACACAATTTAAATTTGGCATTTGTTCCAAATCAAAATAATCCCTTAAATAATAACATACATGCAGTTTTCAAAGCTCAGCATGCATCTGTAATTACTGTGTAGTATTATGTATGTGTGTAGGTGTATGAAATATGTTTTCTGGTACATGTACATATATTTTATTATTAGAGTGATAATAATTGGGGTGACTACTGTAGAATACTTTATTTTCGCTTGGAATTTTTTTTCGCTATTTTCGCTGAAGGGATGATTCAGTGAAAATAAAATCCAGCGAATATACTTTTTTTCCTATGTTTCACATTAAACTAATCAAAAATCAGTGAAAATAAATTCCATACAAAACGCCCTAAAAGCCTTTTCAGCGAAAATTAATTCCAGCGAAAATAAAGTATTCCACAGTATGTTCAATAATATGAATGTATCTGTGACACCTCTTGACACACCAACGGTAAGAACAGGTGTCAAGGGTTGGTGCTTGACAGCACTGAATTTATAATAATAATTATGGAAATAGTCAATCTACACTGTAACTACAATATAGTTAATTCAATGCGTTTGTTCACAACAAACACTCCATTACAAAGTCTGATATAAGGGCTTAGTAAGAACAGCAGAAGCAAGATTTAAGCTCCTCACAAGAGATGTCAAACCTGCTATATGTAAACATGGGAAAACAGATTGTCAGAATGGCGCAAATAGTTGTTGATTCTGACAATATAATTTATTTGACATGTCACCAGTTCTATTATTTTCCAGCCATGTATTTCCACAGTCTAGCAGGAAGGTAAAAATAATAATATTTTTTTTTATTTATTAAGATTAATTAAATTTGAACTTGATAAAATTATTTTATATTTATTAAGATTAAATAAATTTGAACTTAATTAACAAATGGAATGGCAGGTACCATAATTTGCAAACATAAAGGATGGAATTGGAGAAGTTATTCTCTGTAAGAATTTTTTACTGGAAAGCAAAATAGAGCTTTGGTCCTGTTTGTTTTATTTGCATTCTGTTGAACAGCAAAATATCAAGATTGTCTACTGCCTAAATGATTTTTTGCTTGCATATATTTACAGCATTAAAGTATCGGTACAATAATGTAATATATTTTCTAAAAGCAATGGTCAATCCAAAATGTCACAAAAACAGCAACATTTACTGATATTATAATTAAAAATGATTGTAATTTTAGAACTAACCACTTAATCTGTTTTCCAGAATATTTTAATTAAGGCCAGACTTTTTTTATTCCTTGTTTCGCGAGTTTTTATAAGGCAATTTTTTTTTTAGGAGGGCGAAAAAAAAATTAAATTAATTCTTTTTTTCCATTAGATTTGTGTGATTCTCAAAGAATTGTCAGTGAGATCATTGATCGGAGAGAAGAAATGCAATAAAATTTTATTCCATGTATAACCTTGTTTCTCATCTGCGTGAGACTTTGGTACTTTGATCATGATACTCCCACGAAAATGCAACTTGGATTTGTTATGCGGCGGGCGGTAAAAAAATGAAGATAAAAATAATATTTTTTTAGCATTTTTTTGTGTTTACGGGTGCGAGAAATTACGCTGAAATAAAATTATATTTTTATTTCATTTTTGGCTCCTGTTCATTCGGCGGGTTTGCGAAACAAGGGATAATAAAAGTCTGGCCTAAATAAGGACCTCGACAAAAATAAAACACCACTATAAAAATCAATAAAAAAATCAATTTCTAGTCCAGAAAAGTACATTGTCCCTCTTAAATGAAAAATTATTATTGAACTGTTTAAATATGAAAAAAAAACTAAGTGGTACTACTAATAACTATGTACGGTATTCACAATGGTCTAGATATTATAACCACATACATGACATACATTTTGTAGTTGCTACAATGTCTTGAGGTTACACAGGTTCAAGATCAAATAAATATCATGAATTAGTAATATACATGTATACGTATGTATAACTCATGGCTAGGTCTGGTTTTATCTGGATTAGAATCGGCATAGTGATAAAACTGTTATTAATAACTAATGTTTATAGTTCAAAGTTATTCATTAATAGAATGGAAGCTCAACAGCCTCTATCTTTTATAGTTACCTCAGTGTTTTTTTTTTATTTCTGGGGGATTATCAAAAAAATAGTAGCAATGTCAGAGTGCTTGAGACAAGAAAATATATGGCCAGTGAGAAGGGTTCAACGTACAAAACAATGTCCTCATGACCCCTATATCTTTGTGTATTGAATCATTAAGCAAATATAGAAACTGTTTGAATGTACAAAATGTGAACTTTGCTCGCCATATTTTAAGCTTAATATAAAATATAAACTCTAGGATAAAACTCACCTTTCTGTACTTGAATTTCTTCTTTGTGGCGCAGTTCAAATCTTCGTGGATTTTGTCTAATAGCCACATAAGAAATTCCTGAGCATCGTGTTGATTGCTACCTTTAAATTGAGCTCCATATTTTGATACAATAGCTTTGAAGTCACGACTAAGTTGGGGTACATATTGAGATGACCACAAAGCTTTTAATAGTATTGCGAACTGTTCCGTGATCTCACCTTTGCTGCCAAATTTTCGGCTATTTCTTTTAATGTGTTTGTTGCGCAGATCAGATTGAAAAGAATCCATAACAAAATACTCGGCCATCATATCAGTGTTACTCAGACACTGGATCACGGCGTTCATGAAACAAGTGTTACCGAGATTCCTCACGCCACATAGCCCAGGAAGCAATCTACCGTTTATTCGGGGAGAACTTTGCTGTGAGGTCGAGCTTGTTTGACTTTCAGTTTGTCCATTCTCGACTACATGTGTATGATCGTCGTTCGTAACACCTGTATTTTGTGACTTCACAGCGTCGTGGGGTGGTCTCTCCCTGGCATTCGGACTTTTACTACTTGGTCTGGGTCTAGGCCTAGGCCTAGGCCTAGGACCATGTTGTTGTTGTGCACTGTGGGCGGGGTACGACAGCTGATTTCGCTGAGTTGGACCAACCATAAGAGTCTGTACAAACTTCACCATCATTTTTTTCATGGATTTCAACGGCCCCCTACTACGTGCCTTACGTTTCTCTTTACCTTGTACTTCTACCTTCGTCGACGAGTGTTCGCGGTTGATTCGCACGTGTCTCGGTAAGGTAGCCGCTTTGAAATCGTCAACATCATAATCGTCTTCCTGGTTAACTTTGCAGCCCGAAGTTCTAGTCCGTAATTCGTCGGGGACATCGATCTGCCCATCAGACGACGATCGAAGCTTTTGTCGAACACTCATCTTGATATAATTCTCCCCAAAGGCAAGCGAAGAAACAGTAACATACCATCTGTGGTCGACATTTTCGCAGACCTTGTATCGGACTAACTCTTCCAAACACTGGCGGCAGCCATAATAGTGACGTCATTTTGATTGAACCAAGCGCTGCATCTTGGGAAATACTGTACTTGTCATCGAAAATCAACATGTGAGCCGGCGGTTTAGAACTTGGTAAAAACTGGCTTGAACCCCGTGCGTAGCACGCTTAATGATAATAACAATAACATGCTTTATTGTCCTATAATTTAATTGTTTTAGGCAGGATTGAAATTAACATTAATCATTGCAAATAAAAGCACATACATTCACATGAAGATAATGATATACGTGAAAGTGACAGATAGGGTAGGAGAAGGTGTAGGTAATGGTAATTTGCTAGCCGGATCAGATAACACTTTTCGTAAATAGTGAGCCAAATTCCTTTCATGAAACAAATAAAGGCCACACACGCTTTGAATACTGACATGGAAGAGAGGGGGTAAGAATACAGTTCATGGGCCTAAATTGTTTTTAAGTCCAATGAAACTTTTGAAATGCCACCGACATTGACAATAATTCCGTTGGGGAGCAAGATGTTGCTTATCGATTCAGCAATTATTCAATCTCTACTAAAAAATCTGGAAAGTACTGACTAGTATTTGAATGTAAAGAACGTGTTTTCTTTATTCTTCAACAGTGTATAAATAATAATAACTTTATTACACTACTAATAACCTTCAGGGGTTTTTTGTATGGTAAGAACATAAATACAATAACAATACAATTCAAAAGAGATAAAATATTAGAAAAATGTTAGTAAAATAAAATAAAAAAGAAATTAATTACTTTCTGTAGTTTTAAAAATTGTGCTCTTCATATAAACTCTGAAAAAGTAATTTACGAAGTGTATGCATTCGCCAAATTGTCCACGTCACGCGCGGATTTATAGGGGGCGCCCAGCCCCCTTCCTTTAGCCCGCAAACAAATGACAAATCAATAGACACACCCAGCCCACGTCAATAGGAGCGCCCCCTACCGAATTTCTGGATCCGCCAGTGCACGTTGTTAATTAATTATACAGTGTCTCCCGCCGGTACAGTTGCATTTCTAATATCAGGTAGATGTAGCTTCAGTATTATTGTTCCTCGTACCACATCATTATTTATTAGGTATTTGTTTTCATTAGTCTTTCCATTTTCCCACTCATATTCCATATTTAAGATCTTTGAGAATTCTTTTAATACAATTGACCCAATTTTGGCTGCCTGAGTTATCCATATTGATTGCCAAACTGTAAGTTTCATTTATGAGGCTGTTTTCAGGCATATTGTGCTATCTCAACCATTATTTAAACATCTGTCTAATACATGTAGTTATTAGGGGGTATCGTCCCAATTCTAATAAACAGGCAAGGTTTGTGATCCTGCAGTTTACCTTCAGTATTTACATGCAACATTGGTGAAAATAAGTGCATCAAATAGTTTCTATTTTTTATTATGTCACATATCCAAATTTCTGCACAATATGTCAAACATTTTCAAATTGATTTTGATGGAACTTGATTTTACGGGTAGAGCATCTGCTTCAGTGTGAAAAATGCCTTCAGAGCCCAGTTTTTCAAGTCTGCTTGCGCTATATCTAGGTTCCCATTGGTATTCAATTTTATACCAAGATACATGACATTGTATGAAGACACTCTTTATTTTATTTAATGTTTTCTCACTTTTGTTAAAGATCGTCAGTGTATAATAGACGTGAGAGTTTATAATTTAAAAGCGTTGGTGCATCATTTTCAGACGAATGTATATGCTTTTTTATGTCATTAATATATATATTGAATAATAATGGGCTTAGACCATCACCCTGTCTGATGTGTTTTAATCTGTATAGTATCTATATTTTTGAAGTTCACTTTGCATATATGGTCCTTCCAGCTAAGCTCAGACAATCAATTCCAATATTGTATTGGTTGTCTGAGAGCTAAGTTTGTTACCAACGCCTACCCTTACATATAAATTCCACTTCCTCAATTTTTTACCCTTTAACACAAATATCTCCCATAGTAGCGTGTATTCAGTTTGTTGTATTAATAATTAGCTCATTGTTATCACACCGCTTAGATATGTGTAGCAACTATCAGGGGGAGAAATTTTCTTCTCTGGGGTCTCCACACGTGCCGGGGGGGGGGGGAATCTCGTCTCGTCTCTATATCGCGTCCCCTTGAGGTACGGGATCGGGAAAGTCACTTAAACTTTTACAGTCAAATAGACACACACTACGAAATACGTTTCAACTCTCGTCTTAGTCGATCAGTCGAGCACTCTATAAGACACAGCGCCCTGGGGAAAAGTCCCCAAGACTAACGCAAGGCTGACCCAAGACTCTCTCTAGATTGCGTCAAGACTCGCCCCAAGACTCTCCAGGACTCGTCTGTTCTGGTGTACTCGCCAAGACCAACTAAAACAACTTTATTCTTTTTCAAAACTCTAACCAATTACAAAGCAGTAAAAAGACTCTAGGGCGTGGCCTTCAATCATACAGCCAATCACACTAAGTACTGAACACGTCATATCTTTTGATTAATCGTTCACTACATTAATAACTACGAATACCAACTGTCAGAAATAGTGGTCCGAATAGCGACAGTTATCTCGTAATTAGTTCCAAATCACTGAGCCAAGTTCCGTCCAAAACTTCACATGGCCTAAACGGTGCCAGACATAACACAGCCATTCAGCTAATTAAGTCGATTAACAGATACGCAAAAACAATTTCATCATACAACTAATCATATACCTGCTGTAAGTCAATAATGTTATGCGGATTAAAAATACAAAAATAAGCTAGTATCATCTGCAAAAACCGAACCGAATATTTATATATTCAATACTGGTTCGAACATGATAGATGAAATTTTAAATTATAGTATTATCACTGATCATGGTGTGTCAAATTTGATCTACAATGTACATGACGTCATCATTGCACACAATTGATATAACTTTTTCACATTTGGACAAAGACAATACTGTTGTATCACACGAGTGTGATCACAATATTATATAGATTTAATATGCGCTCGCCTTGCGCACGTTGTTTCCAAATTGTGCAATTAAACTTCATCTGGACTGAAAATATATAACCAGTAGTTTTAATTTCCGTTCCACAATTTTTGAAATAATATTCAACTTATATCGGCCGGAACTGCTATACAAATTATATCCGTACCGGTTTGTGCACCTGTTTTATTGTTCAATATAATATATAGAGAATAGTATTAGATAATCGTAGTCCTTGGTAATTATTCAATATAGCCAATTATTATTGTTCAATGGACAAATTATTGTAAGCAATTGACCATTATCAGCAACTGAAAGAGCGCCACCTGGGGACAAACAATGGGCATAAACTCGCACTTTGTTTTCACACGACCAGTGGAACTGACAAACCACTGGCAGTAACACAATTTGCTTAAAGAAAGTCTTTTTCACTCATGCCCTGGAAATATATGTGGGTACATTGTGTGATAAATGATTGAAACAAAAATAACTGCTTTCAAAAAAAAAAAGAATTTATATTTTTCCCGAACTTATTTTCTAATGATAGCCTCACATGTCGATATCTTATTGCGATTTGCGTAGAAGTTATTTTGTAAAGAATGTATTAACTATTAATTTTTAGTCTTTACTCGGGTAACAGAAAGTAGCCCAATTAACGATCTGGACGTCGAGCTCCTCTGCCAGTTTTAATTAATTTCAAAGACATTCTACGAAAACTGGACACGTAAGCTCACAATTCACGTATGTATACATGGCCATACAGAAGCGGCGGCACGACATTTCGCATGGGGCGAGATCTGCAAGTGCATGGTCACGCATTTTTTTCGAGGGAGCGACCCTCCTTCCGGTGCCGCCGAAAATTTTCTATTTTTACCCCCGTAAAAATGAAAACGGAATGTGTCGATGCTGGATTTTCATTTCCTTGAAATGTCATGTAGTTCACGTAACTGTAGATGAACGTTATGAAATGTGACAATATACGTGTGTAACTTGTGCCGGTAAAAATCTCAATTTAATTACGACCGTGACATGATGATTGTCACTGCTATTTTAACAGGGAAATATAAGATTGGATTATTCAAAATTCACATTAAACGGTCCCATGAATGATACACGTTGCCATGGAAATATAATAATTCCGACATTATTAATTATATTCATTCAATGGCGATAGTAATACTGTTACATATATTAGTATATTCTTTACAAGTTGAACCTGGAGGGGTCTTCATGTTACATGCAAACGTTTGAGTGACGTCACTAGGGTATTTTAATGTGAAATTAATTAATTAAATAAACGAAAAAGACAGGAGAAGAGATTCGTAATAAAATTTTACAATTTTATGTCATTTGAATTTGTATATTAACAAAAAAATGTACTGAAGTCCTTCAGTTAAATTATAGACACTCAGAAAGAAGTACTTAAAATCTATAAATAACCCAATATCCTGAGATCTTCAAATTTGCAATAGAAAAGGTCACTATTCTTCATGTTGTAGTATATTCATTTGTTGAGTTTTGTTTCGTATTTTCACTAACATGATTTTTTTATAGAAATGTACTTGATGTTTTTCATAACAAGACAACAATAATTTTAAAACAAAATCTAAACGTCACACTTTCGTGGCGCTTTTCCTCCATGAATATGCAAATATGTAAAATTAATAATATATCGGGGAATTTAAAACCTGGTGAACATATCTGCAACATTAAATCCGTTACAAATTAAACACATTGAATGTTCCCCTTTTTACAGTTTTCAATGGATTGATTACCAGTCGGTGAACTTTTTATTCCACTTCTTTGCGTTTTTGCACGAATTACTATTGTGTTAGGTTTATGTTCGCTTGATTGTTATATTATTGGTTAACAATTGGAGATTTTATTCAAGTTGTGATTTTAGGGTGTGAACAAGGCCAGGGACAAACATCAGTTTCTTTCTTTGTACATTGTCAACTCTTTTTTGCGATGGTTAACTCCAGGGTTAACTCGCCGATTGAGAATTGGCATAGATTTTAGTTGTTAAAACGGGTGCAAGCTGACTAAAGGTGAACAAAATATTGAATTTGAAAATTAACAGAGATGTAGCATTGTAAGAAAACCAAATCAGATATGAACTAACCCGAATCAGATACGAACTAACCCGAATCCGATACGAACTAACCCGAGTCGGATATTAACTAACCCGAATCAGATACGACCTAATCAGAGTCAGATATAAACTTACCCAAATCAGGTACGAACTAACCAGAGCACATTCACATTCACAAAAAAATACATGGATCACTAGACATGCCCTCTTTTAATGAAATCTACGAAGATTTCAGAATTTTGAGAAGAAAACGAATACTTAAATATTAAGATTGAGACAAATAAGAATATGTATAACATATGGGTGGTGTGTCGCTCAATGTATTTTGTATTTAAAGTGAAACACACTCATGCAGAAACATTTGTTACTTCAATCTTATTTTAGTTTAAACAAATCTATCTTTGCCAAGGTATTCGACCATACGTGTAATTTTAAACTCGATCATAACTTTATTTGGCGTGTTTGTGCAATTCAATGACCTCCAACATATATGTTAAAGTTCTGCTATTTGTCGAAATATTCAAAATTGGTTTAAAAATTTAAAAAGTTTATAAGTCTGAAAAGTTATCTTTTACCCGCAGCTTCTGTATTTCTTTCAAGTAGGTAGCTCATTGAAATATTAAAATTTGTGCTTTGTTTCGATGTAATTTTAAAGTTTAATGGTCAGAGTTAATCTCAAACCGTACATGTTTTCAATAGTGGCAACCGTCAAGTATGAAAGCCATAAACATGGAGTAGAAAGTAAATCTTAAAACTAAACATAGACTGATACAACTCCGTATGGCTTCCCTCTCATTGGCTCAGCTGGCCAGGCAACCTAGCCTAAACCATTCAAATTGTATTGTAGCTCTATATAAAAAAGAATACAAAAGCGTCAGTGAATTAAATAACTTTGAGCTAAATCTATCCAAAGTCTTTTATTATATACGCCCGAAGATCAAAAAGCATCATTGTAAAGGCATTGATGTTGTGGTGTGGCGTCGTCATAGTGACTGCCATGCTACTGCCCTTGTTGTCTGTGCGTCGTTCCTGTGCATATCCATTTCACAACGAAAACAGTGAGCGGCGGTGGCGGATGTTTCAGCTCAAGTCAGTGCTTTAGTTTTCGCACATTTTCACTGAAAACCGCAAGTACCGCCGCATAACCGCTATTGAAATGGTTCTTGAATAGAAGTAGACTCTATCCGTCCCAACATTCCACACCTTTCGAGCAGATCTGTCGGCAGACGATCAGCCAACCCATACAAGAACAGAGGATCTAACACGTCCACTGGCGCTGGCACCGTCAGCCATTGCTACATAACTGTTTACCTCTATATTTAAAATATGAACAAGAAGCAAGATTTAGACGTGGATGCTGTTATAGAACAGTTGCTTTCTGTGAAAGATACTCCAGGCAAGCAGGTGAGAGATAAGCTTTTATTTTTATAAATTATGATGACAAAATTGGCAACATTCACCATGTTTTTATTGCCGTGATGCTAACATCGTCGTGTTTTTATTTTTATTAAATACGCAGTGTTTTCATTTGCACACAACAGTATGTTTTAGCGGTTTTAAAAATTCATACTTTAGTAAACGGAATTCTGAATTATGTATTCTGTCATGTATTCCAATCTCTGCTCTGCACACTAATTCGTAAATCGATTTTGTTTACGACTGTGATTTTATGTCTCCGTCTCTTGCACTGCTTGCAATGCCACCCAGTGTATCATATTGCATGGCGTTGTGTTCTGATGTAATCACTGTTTAATACATATAGCACATTGACATGTAATCTCATGTCAACATATATATGTAGCAAATTATTAAAAAAAAATTTTTTTCAAATTAAAAAAACAAAAAAACATATTGCCTAACGCACCCAACAAAACACATCATCATCAATACAATGCTTTCAAAAAAGCTGTTTACAAAATTTACGGTTTATAAACATAAAACGTTTTATAAATTTAAAAACTGCAGTTGACCAATCAGAACGATTGCTGTGACGCCACCGCAAATTAATACTCTGTACAACCCAGTTTGCATGTGTGTATAAAAGCGTATTGACTATTATTATACATCTGTCACCGTAACGCCATAAGCCATAAGTTACAGTGTGCCGTAATTTTGCGGTATTTTACGGGGTATTTTCGTACTACCATATTTGGAAATGCAAATTCTAAATATGGAATGATTACGCGCGTAAGCGTCCTCTAATAATAAAAACAAACATGGCTGCCACCAGGATTTGACCGGACTCCATACAAAGAAGTTAAACTTTTTGGATTTCGGCATTTCCATGATGTATCCTTGAAGGGAAAAGATGTATAATAATAAGGTTATTACGAAGATACCTCAAAGTATGCACTCAGACAGTGCGCTGTCGCATCGACCTCCGCTGCACATCGGTCAATACTGCCGCTGTACTGTATTCGTGCATACTTTGAGGTATCTTCGCAATAACCTTATAGTATCTGATTGGCTTTGCGGTACATCAGGGGAAAATTACAAGTACAAAAATTATTATTGCCAATCCAGTTGTCTCAATTAGAATTGAATGAAATGTTCGGTAAAAATGTAAAAAAATTAATTCTAAAATATGTTAATGTAAACAGCTTTTCTGAAAGCACTGTATTGAAATACAAGTATTAGGGGATGACAATTTATTATTTATTTAAGAATTGCCTTCATATGAGCTGAATGTTACAGCACAATTCACTTACTTACATTAAAAGGGGAAACAAAAACAGAATGAAGAATGGTTTTATCCTGATTGCATGCCCTGGGATTGAGTGTAAATTATTAAGATTGACCTCAGTTCCTGCATTTGACATAACTTCTTGCATATTTTCAATTAAAAGAACCTTCCACTCGATTGAATAATTGTGTTTGTAAAAAGACTGCAATACGATGTGTTTGTCAGTATCTTTTTTTGTGCTGTGGCGATGGTGTTATTGCGTAGCACAAAATATTTTTATTATTTAGGAATTTTTTTTTAAAGGGGGCTGTGGTTGTCATGTAGTGTATTTGATGTATGCAATTTCTGTAAAATGAATTGTTTGTTTACACTAACTTCAAATGCAAGC